AAAATCAACCCCCGGAAGTCTAGTTTCCAATGGTGGAGGTCTCACTCCCAAATTCTAACTACAGAAATAGTTATGCCCAAATTAGTGGCGACTGTTCACTTTCTGTTTACTGAGTTTGTACCGTTTCTTCGCCTGAACCTTTCTCCTATCGATTCCTCCTATTTTATGAGGCATGGATTATAACCTATGGTGGAATAATGAGTCTAATCAAATGGACTGCCTTGAGTAAGGAATAAAAAAAGATTGGTTTTACTCTCATAATCTGTTATGTGCATTGTGTTGTAAGTCAAGACGAGGACATCGTTCCACCGCTACCAGAGACCTACCACTATAAGTAGTAGTACTGTAATCGTACATTTACTTACCGTTAATAATTCTTATTATTAAAATTATGTTCCTTGCAAGTGATTACGTTATCATTTATGTTAATTGGAAATCGGTGCACACTTGGATAAATGTTGAAAGAGTTGGGAGCCTATCCAAATTGCATTCTGTATGCGTTGCGTTAGGCACTTAACATGGACTTGGATCATGCATTGATTGCTAACATGTTTTTGTTTTGGCTCGGAGTACTAGGTAAGCATTTATGCTTTAGCATACCGCATGCGTGTGAGTGTTGCCATAATAGCATGATTACCATGAGGCTAGATGCTTATGTGATATAAACTGCTTGAATGCCTGTGGGTGAAGGTTAGATTGTTTGAGTTGGAACAACTCGTTAAAATTCGTGCTTTAGCCTACTTGCGAGTAGCAAATTTCAAACTGTTTTTTTTTTAACAAACGGATATGCAATGCTTCGTTCCAATTCAGGCGATTTGGTCTATACTTGTTTGCTGTGCGCATAACATAGGAATTCTAGGCTAATAACCGGAATAAGGACACATAACGTTTTCAAAAACGGATATCACGGTTAGTAGAGGCCGATCTTCGGATCGGGCGAGAGGGGGTGCTCATAGCTGACCTTCCCCAATCGTACCATAACTCCCGAGCCGAGGCAACTTTGGTGATGACGGACATGTGGCCTTTGGCACCGAGTCAGGGTTTCCTAAATTTCCCCTTAAAAAAAATATTTAGGTGGCGACTCTGTATCTGGCAAAGCAGTCCATGTTTGGCACTTCTTTTCTAAAAATCTGTTTTCTCAAAATGATTTTCCGGATTTGGACTCTTTGGTTCAGATTAAGAACCGTGACACAAATTGAGTCCGAACTGTAGCACGAAGGCCTCACGCGGGTGCGTCTACAATGGTCCATTTTACCACACCTATAACAAGCCCCAGAAATTCGATAACAAACTCCTCGGTGTTTCTTACCACATTCATTACATGTCGGTGCTGTATTTCTTGTAGAGTTTGAAGCGCGCGATGATCCCGTATTTTGCTTTTTAAATTTCCTCTTCTTTGAGAAAAAGCTTTGTCTCTTGCTTTTCCATTCAGAAGATCGATTCATGTTAGCTTTGGTCATCAATGTTCGATCTAGCACCTCAACATATTTTGTGACTTCCAACACATTCACTTGGTGCTCTTGCACTGGTGGTGGCAAAGGTTCTTGCCGTAGCGGCAACTGATACTGTTGTCTTAAGATCTTTGCCATTTCTTGTACTGTTCTTTCCAGTCTATCAAGTCGGGTTGTGGAAGAGTCTGCCAACTCGTATGCCCTTACCTTATCCATGATCTACACAAATTCTTGTTAAGCCATGCCAAATAAGGAATGCCCAATACAGAAATAAACACAGATACACATAGGTGCATTCGCACATAGGCACGTCGTTATATTCTGATTTTACGTATCATCAAGGCACAATTAATCATATGCAAAATAGACGATCGCATACTTATCAGATATCGCGAATAGAACACTTACTAGATAATTACACATTTGACCATATTCATATTCCACATAGGCACCCATTTGCAGCATCGAATGCACATAAGCAACTTCTTATAATTCGTATGTTCATATACGTGCATCATAACAAACAAAACTTGTTGTACACATTAGTGCAACAATTCATATCTCATATAATCACATATTCTCAATGCTTACATCATGTACTTGTCAAATGGATGCATCTTAAGTCTTTTCTAGACACCTTATGGCTCATTTGGACAAGTGTGTGAGTTATTAACTCGTGCTCTAATACCACTTTGTCATGACCCGAACTCGCCCCCATGGGTTAAGGACATAACCGACCGATAATCCTGAAATTACCTACGGCCTCAAACCAAATCAGACATAACTCATTAGAGTAAAGGGGCCAAACGGAAGCAGAATTTAAAACTTTGTCCATAGAGCTGTGTTTACATGGCATATCATAACAAACCATACATAAAGATATTAATAACTCACATCAGACAATACAGTAGCATAAAGTTCTGTACAGACAGGATCATTCAAGTCTAGGTCAGCCAATCAAAACTATATACAAACGTATCCAAAGTCCTCGCCAACATGACAAAATGACACAAGATAGCAAAAGGACGAAGACGTGTCTCGTGCGTGAGACGCAAGGGCTGACTCCTCAAAACCTTGGTTGTTCCACACAGACTTCACTGAGGCTGGGTTTGGACTGCTCTTGGCTTACCTACATACACACGAATGAGCGTGAGCGAAAGCTCGGTGAACAATATCGAATAAAGAGGATACATTAAGACAACATACGACAAACGGCCTTGGGCCCAATTCATATTCTATCTAATATATATACAGGTATACATAGGGCAGGTGACTGCAGTTCCAAACATATCAGGCGGCCTCAGGCCCAATCCATTCATGTCAAACTGGCCTTTGGCCCATTCATACTTTCATTAGTGTCAAACTAGCCTTTGGCCCATTCATTCTATCTTTCATGTCAAACTGGCCTCTGGCCCATTCATTCATATCCAACGACCTCTGGCTCATTCATCCACGTCAGACCATTATTCATGTCAGACTATCATTCATGTCAGACTGGCCTTTGGCCCATTCATTCTCTTATTCATGTCAGACTGGCCTTTGGCCCATTCATTCTCTCATTCGTGTCAAACTGGCCTTTGGCCCATTCATCTATGTCATACGGCCTCTAGCCCATTCATTTATGTCATACATGTCAAACTGGCCTTTGGCCCATTTACTTTATCATTCATGTTAGACTGGCCTTCGGCCCATTCACACTTTCATTCATATCGGACTGGCCTTCGGCCCATTCACATTTTCGTATCGAACTGGCCTTTGGCCCATTCACTCTTTAGGCATAGAAAACGGTTGTCCACAATTCAAATTAACAGACTTATAGGAAGCTAAGTAATTGGACAAATAGCATATTCCAGATATCTTTATTAAGATACTACTCACAGTGATCGGTTGGTTGATTTGCCCTGGGGCTTGACCCTACACATCACATAACGCAAATGGGTCACAAATGATTCAATCCGTTCTTAATTCACATATTCCTCTTTAGGCTTTATTCTTATCCCTTTTAACTCATTTACAATGCTTAATGCATGCCTAAGAGTACTTAGAAGTGAAGGGAAACGGAAAACGAAACACAGAACGTATTCTCAAAATTCCAGAAACAGGGGTCCCCGCTCGAGCGTGGACTTTCCTGCTCGAGCGGACCCATGAGGTCTGCAAAAGTACTGGATACAACATTTTCACGCTCGAACGCGAACTCAGACGCTCGAGCTGAAGATCAGTCTACATAGCTCCCTGCTCGAGCGTGAATTTCCCCGCTCGAGTGGACGTCATGTCTGCAGAAAATACTAGGAGCTCGTATTTTACGCTCCAGCGGCAGATCCCCCGCTCGAGCCGACATCAAAATTTTTGGATTTTCCAGAACATGTTCTTGAGCTTCAACTTGACATTCAAAGGCTCTAAACACATGATTTTGGCTCAAACTATGCATATACATGTACTAACATGGTACAAACACCAAATTACAACATTATGAAGCTCAATTGCAAGAATTACTTACATGCATGTTCCAAATTGACTCAAACTCATCACCAACACACCAAATTCAAACATTCAAAGCTCACACTTTCATGATTTGCACTTGCATGTAGGAGATACTCATTATTCTCAACTTAATTGGTGAAGAGATGATCAAATACATGGACTTCATTCACATTCAACATGGATTACACACTTTATGCTCAAACATGGAAATTTATAGCAATTTCCTACATCCATGTGTCTATTGACTTCAAATTCAAGAAAACTAACTCAATTCATATTCTTTATCATCATTCAACTTTGAATTCACAAATTACAACATTAAACTCATGACGTCATAATCAATTGCTCACCTAGAAGCTCAATCTCCCCAATTTATGGTCAAATCTTGAGTTAGTCTTCAATTTATTCAAGCTTTTTGAGCAAATCTTCAATTGTTTCCCTCTCTCTCTCTCTAGCCGGCCCTCTCTCTTTTCTTGAGTTCAAAATCAGCCAAAATGAAGCTAAAAAGGAGAATTGGGTGTATAGTGCCCCACTTATATAATTTCCCTCAATTATAATTGCCAATATTAAATAATTGGGCACTATAGCATTAATTTAATCTAATTAATCTGATCCGAATCAATTTTCAATTAAATTTCACCGTAGGCTTTAAAAATTATGCCAATCATAATGGCGTAATCAATTTTGATTTCTGTGGCCGATAAGGCCTTCAATTTAAATTCCAAAGCAGATAGTCAAACAGATATTCCTACGGTGAACAGATTGAAATTCAAAACCACATATTTTCACATAAATGGCACACATAAACATATAAAACACATAATCATATTCATAATAAGGACCAATTAGCATAGTACGGAACAGGGTTATCACAAGTATGATCTGTTGTTTAGGGCTTCGTGGAAGCCGGCAAGATTTCGGTTATTTTTGTTCCCTGATGCAGAGTCGGTGGCCGTGACACAAGGGAGTTTTGGTTCGAGAAAAGGGAAGAGCGATCGGGAGAGGAGAAGCGATGAGAACTTAATCGGAGGTTTTCTAGGCAATAATTACTATGCGCAAACTTCTCAGAAAAATTACCTCCGGCGACTTTATCGGCTGCTCTGTCGCCTCCTGTGTCTTCTCCACAGGGATATAGGCCGGAGAAGCAACTCACTAGCAGCGGAGTTTACACGGCGGTGCCTGAACAACAACAACAACAACAACAACAACAACAACAGGTTTTCATGATCCAAACTCCGGCGGGTTTGTATCACGAGCTGATGGGAAAACAGGTACCCGACTATGAGCTGAGGATTGTAAACGCCCAACTATTAGGCATCCGTATGCTCAAACCCAAACAAATAGTTTTTTGGTCTATAGTTTTCATATTCACTCGATCACTTTTGGACCACACCCATGAACTTGCAAATTTTTTAATCCTATACAACCACTATAGAGGAAGCCAACATTTGAACCTCTAATTTCATCTTCCTTATAAACAACCTCATGGATACAACTGGCTGCCCCTTTGCTGTCACAGATATGTATGACAGTACATGTAACTTATATGACACTTTTTTTACCACCATGATATTTTGTGCATTTGGTTGCCGAACTATATCACCCAAAAAAAAAAAAAAAATCAAATTTCAAATGTTTTTTTTCTTTAGACACGAAAACCACTCACTTATGTGGGTTGTTTTGGAAAGTAGATTAAAAAGCTATTTTTTTTTTTGACTTTTTTTATTTTTCTTAAAAAAATATGTAAAAAAATAAAGAGAGTATGTGACCAAAAGAAGTTAAAAGTCAAAAAATTTGACTTTTAACCTCTTCCCAAAGAGGGCTTATCATACTACAATGATTAATTAGTTGGTTTACACATTTTGCTTTAATTTTTTTGCCATCTTCCATAATTATTGTATCATATAATGTATCCTTCAGATTATTTTATTTTTTCTTGATGTCCATAGCTTTCACTTTTCATATGAAATATACATTTTTTAAACATATTTACAAAAAGAGGGGAAGGAGGCCGAGTTTCTTAAAGTAGTCATTATCTTTTTCAACACATATGCTGCCAGCCTAGACATTGAATTTCATTACTATTGCACTAAGCTTCACATCCTAACATCAAACTATCAAAAATATCATTTAAATCACAAAAACAACAAAATCCTCTTAATGCTAACAGAATTTTCATATTCTTATTTGCTTCCTTTGGCTTTCTAAGAAAACAAATTTGCAATTGCCCTTAGCTTTATATATGCATTGTTGAATGTTAAATGCACTGGAAGCTTTTGTTGCAAAAGAGAAGCTAGGAGCAAGTAAAATATCTTAGTTGGTAACTTGGTATATATTATCTAACTTATTGCATGTGCACATATGTTTACACATGGCCAGCCTTAGCTTGTTATTGAGAGGGTCCTTCCTTCATTTGAAAGACTGAAAAAAAATACAATTCCAAGATTGCATATCTAGTTTAGTCACCCAGTGACATTTAATGTAAACCTTTTTACAACAAAGATACCATTTTCAAGTTTAAGAAACCAGAGACCGTTCATTAACAGGCTTATGGATTGAACGATATATATATATATATATATATATATTTTGTCCTATGTTGGGATCTAAATTACACAAGCAAGAGGATCAATTTTCTTGAGCTACCAAGTCATTGTTAGGATTGTTTTTCAAGTCACTACAGGAAAAAGAGGTTTAGGCGGCGTTTTTTTAACGACGCATTTTTAAACGTCACTTTTTTTAACATTTAACGACGTTTTATAAAACGTCGCATATTTATTTAACAAAACGACACCGTTTAATAATAGGAAACGCCTCCAAATGTGTTGTGCCTCACGCACTTGGTCTCCTCTTTTCAAAGCCTAATTTTGAATCTCAGACTCACCTGAGACCCAAATTTTCGAGCTCTCTCTCTCTAAATCTCAGAGCGATTTCGAAGCTCCACTACTGTCTCTCTTTCTCTCTCTAAATCTCTCTCTCAACCCTCTCTAAACCCTTATCAGAGCAATTCAGGGATTCATCTCAGTGATTTCATCACAAAGATTCAGAGCGATTTCATCTCAGTGATTTCATCGCAGAGATTTAGAGATTCAGATCGGTCTCCACCATCTGCACCATCGTCTACATCATCATCTACACCATCGTCTCCTAAGGTGAGCTCCACCGTCTCTCTCTCTCTCTCTCTCTGAAGCTCTTCCTTCCCGTCTCTCTCTCCGTTATGCATAAACATGAGTTGTATATGCTCTAGTTAGCCCCAATCCAAGATTGATCCATATGAGGTTAGGGCCCGTGCTAAACAGGTTGTGCAAGATCAGCGCCGTCTGAAGGTTGGTCTTCCAATCTCAGTTTTATCGATTCTTCTCTCTCTCGATCTCTCAATCTCTCTCGATCTCTGTGTCTCTCGCACAATCTCGTTATATGCGTACACATTATCTGTATTTTTTTTTGGATAATTTTTTTTTCTC